GCACGAAGAATCGCTGGACATGACACGTAGACACTGTGGTAAAAGTAGTAAAAGGAAAACGGTTTTCAATGTGGCGGCCGTGAAGTACCGTCATCGGGATTCATCAGAGACGGGTAGTTCGGATGGTCCCCAAAGTAGTTGAGAACATCTTGTGGGAGGTATTCTAGCCAAGGGAGTATTTCCCCACTAAAGGTAAATGGAAATTGGTCTTGTTGCTGAATGGAGGCCATATCAATATCCTGACTTTCAATGAGTATATCGCTAACGTGGGAACCAGCGCTAGGGTGCATTTGTGAGGGTCTGGAATTCATATGACTGCTACCCGTTTGCTGGTCGTTTCTAGTAGAGGCGGTGTTGTAATTATAGGCGGAGGTTGGTGCATCAATCCGGGAAGAAGTGGCGCTCAGATTCTGATTGTAGTTGGTGTGAGAATGCGGAGGTCGGGAGGTAGACGTCGAGAAAGATGCGTTCAGGCCCAGCAAAAGGCTGGCATCCGATGTCGAAACGCGGCCGGAGGGGGCAAGTGGGGAATATTTTCCGGGGCCAGCTGTAATCGGCGAGCTTGGCGCAGCAGCCGTAGTCCTAGATGGCTCGAGCGTTTGAGTATAAGAGCTTGAACTAGGACCGGTACTAGTTTGCATCGGTAAACTGGGGTAGCTATGGCTATACTGAGACGAATAAGCCGGTTTATTAGGAACGGAATCCGTTTGCGTAGCAGGCATTTGATATAGCACGCTCAGATTTGGCTGCGAAGAGTTGGTTGCTCCTGTAAGAGCCCATCCAATGGCTGAAAGAACATTTAGGTCAGCCAAAATACTGTCGATATCCACGGTTCAACCGAGAAGGGGGCTACTGGTAAGAACTGGGATTCTGAAATGCTTACCTTGGCTAGGATCAATTCTTGGAGACCGTACTTCACAATTAACGGCCGACTCGTCGGAGCCACCAGCAGCACCTAACGATGTACTTGGCTGACGCCAACCAGGTGTGGCAAATGGTTGAACCGATGGGATCTCAGCTGTACCTTCCATCTCTTCCTCGGTATATAATAGAGGATCCACAATTCCCTTGGCCTTTTGGTCGAGAACAGTGAGTATATACTTGGTTCCTTCCCAGTATGTCTCTAACGCCTTCAAGGCTTTGTAGCATCGCTGATAATTCTCCTTCGCAGCAGAGGAGAGAAGGATATGTTTAGCAGTCGGCTTCCGTTCTGCTCCATCTGATGGGTGGTCTAAATTGGGCATAACAAAGCCACTGGTTTGATTTGTCAACAAAGGCTGGCAGGGAGGAGAGCCTGGCCCTGACGATGGTGAAGAGTAATAAGTGCTCTCCATCAGAAACGCGCACGCGGCGATGTACATCGGCTGACTAGTAAATGGATTACCGATGAAGCTCTTACCATCAACAAGTTCGGAAAATGAAAGTATATCCGCAATAGTTTTGGCCGAAGACATCGACAATTCCCTGCTGTTTGGATAAAGATGTTGTATAGACCCCCCAAACGAGTTCAGTAACGTTGGTTGGTGGAGGAGGACTATCAAAGTGTGGAACCAAAAATGGAGAAGGATAAAATTCGTTCCTTCCTTTGCCTTTACGTACGCTTGAAAGTTGGCTGCGTTAAAATGAAGCCTCGGCGACAAACGCTGGTATATGCCCGTAAGATCACTTTCCATCCCAGCTAATCTCTTAAGGGTGTCCGTGGTGACATGTTTCACATCTTGGATTCCATTAATGAGGTCCGTGACCCTGCCATACAGATGTATTATGCGTATAAGTGGCGGGAAGGGCGCTGGCCAGCCGTTAGGCAGCAAGGACTCTGATTGCAGGGGGAAGCACAATTCTATGTCCTCGTCACGTAAAGTCACCGGTCGTCCTGTCCCGGATGAAATGACTCGATCGAGGAAAAAAATACTCCAGAAGGTGTCAACCCTTTCCCGCTCCCAGGCACGTTGGTTTTCGCTATCCTGTGCATCCTTCATTAGGACTTGAGAGTTTTGGGGGTTGTCATACTGTTCTTCTCTCAGCTTCCCCGCCTGCCCCGTTACAACTGCATTTGGAGTCACGCCACTCTGGCCGTAGTTATATTTTAAGCCCTGCAGTTTCTGCATCCCGAGATCCTGGGCCATGCGAATGGATATACCTAGATACATCCATAGGCCACTGTCGTGGTTTGAACCAAACTCTTCGTAGGCTAGCAACAAACACGCCTGGACAACAGACAATGTGGGACAGGATAAAGCATCGATGAGAGCGCCCATTGCCCTATGTGCGAATGGCTGGCCGCGGTCTGACTTCCTCACATCCAGTTTTGGTTCTGAGCCATCTATGAGCGGAGCTTGAGGAGGACTCAACAAAGGATGAGGAGAGAACCGTGCAGATAAGGTACAAACAGCGTCCACGAGAATGGTGTCAATTTTCTTATCCTTCAAGTCACGGAGGAATCTTTCGCGTTGGAGGAAAGGGAAATTGCATCCCAAGTGTACGAAGAAAAGATCACATAGGTGTGTCACCAGATTGCTGACTGGTAAGGAATCATCTCGGTCGTAGAAAGGGATAGTATTGGCATCACGGTTGTCGCGATTATCAGCGAGATTGTTTAGGCGACCAACACCAAGGTCCGTGAACTTTGGACTTCGCAGAGGAGACAATGATTCTATGTAGTTCAAGACATCAATCAATACGTTGAAATAGGGATCGGATAAGGCATCAAAAAAAGGAATGAACAAAAATAACGACTCAACGGGTCAAGTAACTGGTAGATAAAGTGCTACTGACCTGATGATAGCGACGCATTACTCTTGCGTGAACCCCTGACCTGGACGACCTGGATGGAAGTAAGCATATATGCATTCACGTAACCAACTGATAGAGTACTCAAACCATTTGTTTAAAACCAGGAACAATAGCTGTTGGCCCAAAGTATCTGAAGTACGGAACATGCGTACGAGCGGAAGAGCTCAAAGACGTACGGCCTATCAAAGTGAGTATACAAAGCCACCCTTGAGGTTTATGCGCAACATACTACTTTCTGGACTTTCCCCTACGGTGTGTTGCTCAGAATCCTTTGTCATTTTGGAAGACGTTTCCCTCACCAGAGAAGCATCTTTCAGCTCCGACGGCTTCGGTGCCCCGGACGACTTGTCCGGACGATCATCACTGTGTGGTATTGCAGCCCGCGGAGGAGAATCTGGGGAACGACTCTCGGCTTTCACTGTTGTACCGGAGCTATCACTTGGTCCCAGTAAAGGAGGAATAGTATGGGTGCGTGATGCGACATCGGACTGCGATCGAGTATGAGCAGTAGGTTCGCTATATCCTAAGCATACGTGGTTATAGTCGGAGCATGTTTTGCACACTGGACGAAGACTCCATTAGCGTAACGGATGGTGTGTCATAGTGGTCTTATTTACCCACCTGGTTGTTCACCTGAGCATCGTATCTTGCGCTTGCGACACGTCCGACATCTGTTCGAGAGAAGCTTGAGTCAGCATCGCAAGGAGACAACAATGAACAAAGGTTCACAGGAGTAGGCCTACGCCGCGTTGACCCGACGTCGTTTAGTCTGAGGCTGTCCATCGGTTGAGACGAAGCGAATCTGCTTTGGGGGGGGAACATTATTGCCGCCGTTCTTCTGGGGAGAAGGGTGGCTCATTGCGAGCAAATGATCATCCGTGGTCACCACACATTGGGCACCTGCTTTTTCCTCGCTCTATAGCAATCGAAGGTCCCCGGTAACGGTATCCGGGGGAGTCGCAGAAGAAGAGGACAACAAACGGCAAAAGCGGCGATACGGAATATCTTTCGGAAGAAGCACTAGGTAAAGAGAAAAATCCATGGACGATGGGTGAATCCCACGTTGTTACCGGGCAATAGTATGATCGCGGGTTGGCGTGGAAATAAAGTGGGCAGGTGAGGGGAACGTGTGATTGTAACGTATTGCTATTTTCTGTTTCCCTTTAGCGGTAATCGGTGATAGGGGACAACTGTATGGCGGCAGTTGGTTTAAGCCAGCGATAAGTCGCAGTAAGAGGTTAGGAGAGTAGGTAGTATCCGTCCATGAGGGATCGCGAAGGGGACCAACTGACCACCTTGGACTCACCAATGGTGAGATCTATTGTCTGAAAGGCAAAACCCCCAGTTCTAGCCTGACCGCCCAGACCAGACAGTTTCCTCTTTGTTTGACCTTTGGGTTTCTAGAATTCCAACCGCATGACCCAGTATTCTTTACGGCGAAATTACCAATATTACTTACACTTGTGGTTATTATTAAAACCACCGCGGTGTCTGGCTCAGGAAATGAACTGTACAAAGGAAGCTTAAAAAAATTTCTTACATCCACGCGACTATCGGCACTATTCCGGGCCCAAAGGATTGGACGCAGTGATTCCTCATGTGACGCACCCCAAATGTACGGTCTACAGAGTACTACCTAACTCGTTGAGCTTTGGGGTTAATAATTATGTCTTGCGACAATCTCGACCTTGCGTTATACCGCTAAAAACAACAAAGCTAAGAAAAAGAAGATGAAAGAATCTAGAGAAGAACTCTATTATTACCTGGATAAATTCCATTGTCATGGATCGGTTCCTGCAGGTGTTTTGCGTCAATTTAACCGCCTCAGGAGCTGGACGGACAATCACTTATAAAGCTAGAAGTCTGGACTCTGGGGTCTCCATTCTCTTCCCGTCCGGAGTCCCCGAGGCAGTGGGTTGTTTGGGGAAAATCCACTATTGGCCTTGCCCACTCAATGTTGGCAAAAGAGACCCTCTTTCAAGTTCTGTCCCCACGTATCGCAGTGTCAACCGACCTTCGGCATCAACTCCGATACCTACTGACTAGAGCCCGCCCAAGAAAACACCTTTTTGCACATTAAACCCGGGATTTCTTTACTTAACTCTAAATTTGAAAATGCTATGATTATTTATCAGAGTTCATGAAAGTCTTCCCATTTTTCATCCGTTTTATCCAGTAGTGATGTTGCTTTCAAATCGGGGTGCATCACACCTACATTCTACATACAGGACATACTCACAGCTACTACAAGATTCAGAGACCTATATCAAATTGGTATTTCTCAATTGCCGGTGTGCACTCCTGTCTAATATAGCTCACATTTCTTTTTGTAATCGGGAACTAACTCTGTCGGAACAGTTCCGTCATGTCTAAAATTGTGGTCTAGGTATCTCGATCGCATCAGTGGTTCGCCCGTACTGAATCCCCCCTAGCCGACTAATAGGCTTCAAGACCTTCAGGTCGATCACGCTTCGGTCCTCATTGATAGCATCCTCTCTTGCCCAGAACCGGACACCCTCAATAATCGCCAATACACCAGTCTTCTTTCCGGGCATCGTTCTGCTCTCAAATTCCTTGGTTTCAACCAGTTTGCCTTCGATAGATAAGATTGATTCCTGCACACGGGCTGGCTGGACAACCGAACTAGGTGCCTGGTGCAATCCGGATATCTCCCATTCGGAAACACCATACGGAGCGTTGACGGCGGTCGCATTTGCTGCCTCCACGAAATGTTCGGAGATGATGTTAATGACGCATTCTTCTGTCTCGGCGAGGTTCTTCAGCGTGTCTTTGGCTTTCTCAAGCGATCCAACAAACCCGACGACAAAAAGAGGCGGGTCATGATTAATGACCTGTGAATAACTGAAAGGTGCCAAGTTCATAGACTTTCCATCCTTCGACTTGGTACTGATGAGCGCTATTGGCCTAGGAACCATTCCCGAGATTAATATCTTATAGTTAGATGAAACCGGTCTCCCTTCCTCATGAGGGTCGATCTCGACATGATTCTTCTTCAAACTTTCACCGTCATCGTTCGCACCCTCGCCCTGCTTCCAGTCAGGCTTAGGGGGCTTTGAGAAGGTGACCTCTGCATCACGCCTAAAATCCGGCCGAGCAGCTTGAACCTTCTCGAAGTCGTCCCCCGTTTTAAAGAATGCCGAAGTCATGCTAAATGAACGATAGTAGCGAGCCTTGCAGCTGTGCAAGCAATTTCTGCCTCCACTGTGTGTTCATCAGCGTTGTTAATTGCGACATATCTGAGCTGGACTCCGTCGAAGTTTTTGATACCTTGTCGAATCGGAAGTAAAGTTGTCTGGGAGCGAAGGAAACTTACAGTTGCTTATAGAGATGGCTAGTCGAAAAGCGCAAAGTGCTTCTCACAACAGTGCGATGCATAGGGTGGGGGTTATTTACAGTATGAATTGACCGAACTAGCTGCTATCGCATCATTACATCCATTGAGCAGATTGCGGCTCACATTTGTGTCATAATTCCACGGATGATAAAGTGCCAGCCTCCAAATTCCACGCTCCAAAGCGGTGAGAACTTCTTAACGGAGTGCGTGGATTGAAGACTTACTACCGACTCTCGGGCCGATATTAGCTTGAGTTTTGTCAGCACCCGAAAACAACCCCTCACCCAGTTTGGGGTAGATAATTTAGTCGATAGGCTGTGCTCTATAATTGACATTCATTACTTGAGAATCGAGTCAATCACCTTAAAAGAGTAGGATATATGTGGATATTGATATGTTATATATCATAATTCATTAGTTTGTCTCGCACCCTCGAGAGTGGAATTGAAACCACGCTGGCTGTGGTATTACACATTACTCCGCACTTCTCCATATCGCTATCCCATCACTTTGAGAACGATGTAACTCTGCAGGTTGTCGCTTGTGCTTATCGAAATGGAAAAGGCTCGAACTCTCTCGTGTTTAAACTTTCATTTGTCAGTTTCGGTGTTCTCCTCCAATTATTGATAAGCGAAACGGGATGGGAGACCTATATCTAGTATAAATAAGGCGCTACTATCACTTGAAGAACAGACATACTTGACGTAACAAGTAACTTTCCATCCCCTCTCATCCCAACCTGTATTGTTTGCTATATCCGCTCAAAGCCATCGCACGTCCCTTCTCCTGGGATCGAATATCCAAAATGACACAGAAAGACTTTGAAACCTTCAAGCTTGGGGATTGGGAGCTGCAGAGTGGAGAAAAGCTCATCAATGCGTCTATTGCGTATAAGACATTTGGTGACCCGAAGTCGCCAGCTATTGTTTACCCCACATGGTTTTCCGGGTGTACGTTTCAGAAGTCAGAAAGTTCCGCAGCGATACTAACAGAGCATTTCCTACATTTAGCGATCTCAGATAACGTCTGGCTGATCGGAGAAGACAAAACACTCAACCCCAAGGCGTACTTCATCATTATCCCGGCGCTCTTTGGGAATGGCCAGTCAACCTCCCCATCCAACTATTCCGCTTCCGATGTATTTCCGGCGTGTTCCTTCTACGACAACGTGCGTGCCCAATACACACTAGTCACACAGCATTTAGGCATATCGCATCTGCACGCCGTGGTTGGGTGGTCGATGGGTGCAGCCCAAAGCTATCAGTGGGCAACACAATACCCAGACTTCATGGATTTGGTGGTGCCATTCTGTGGGTCAGCAAAGACCTCCTTGCATAACCAAGTGTTCTTAGAGGGGGTGAAAGGTGCGCTGTTAGCAGCAAAACACACGCCTTCTGCTGTCTTGAGAGATACCCGTTCCCCCGAGGCCGGGCAGGCGTCGAGAATATGGAACAATCAGGAGAGGCAAATCGGCTTGAAAGCCTTGGGTAGGGTTTATGCTGGTTGGTAAGGACTGACAACAAGCCATATCCAGCTGTACCATTTCTAATGTCTCTCTCTCTCTCTTTTTGATACAGGGGATTTAGCCAAGCTTTCTACAGAGAAAAGCTGTATGAGACTGAACTTGGCTACAAGAGCCTGGAGGACTTCATGCAAGGTTTCTGGGAGAAGTGGGCTCTTTCTAAAGGCAAATCAATACAAGCCCCTCTCTGTGCTCGTTCTCGTAGTTAACGTTGTGGATCTAGACCCTGAAAATCTGCTGGCCCATCTGCAAACCTGGCAGCAAGGGAACGTGAGCAATCAAGAGCCATATAATGGCGACTTTGAGAAGGCCATGGCCTCAATTAGGGCGAAGACGCTGGTGTTGCCGGGCAAAACCGACCTTTACTTCCCGTAAGTGACATTTCCCTTCTAAAATCAACCCGACAGCTAATTACCGTAGCCCGGAAGATTCTGAGTATGAAGTTGCATGCATGAAGCCGGGGATCGGTACCATTCGCGTTATTCCCTCCATTTGGGGTCGTAAGTGGAAACCTATCATACTGCAGAAGGATTAGTGCTGACATGTTGTAGACTGGGCCGGGGGCCCTGGTGACAGTAAGGATGACGTTGAGTGGCTTGACAAGCAACTGGCCCAATTTTTGGGAGAGCACTCGAGAGCGTGATTGTTATCCATGAGGCCATGAGATTGCTTTGCTATAGTAAGTTTCTCCTAAGAAGTTAGTGAGACAAACATGGATGTACGTAGTCCGTCTAGAAACACTAGAGAGTGGGGTATGATACAGTTTATATGATTGGTGGATGATGAAGTATGGGAATCCTTAGTAGCACGTGATTATAGAAAGGCGTCACTGCTGAGTCAGTTGACCATGGCGCCGATAAACCTTCTTTCTTCAACTTCGATCGCTGGCTTGATCAGCCTCTCATTTACTGTTCGGCTTTCCCCGTCGATTCACTCACCCCGTTCTCTTCCTTTCACTTCCCTTCCCTTCTCTCGTCACATTTCTGTATCCCCTTTATTTGTCGCGTTTCCTTTGTCTTTCCTAGTTCCAAAGGACATACGTTCTTTCTTAATTGTCCTGTCTTTTATCTCTCCGCTTTTGAAGACTTAAGCGCCGCATGATCCTGTACCTTTAATTAGACAGTCATTATGGCCACACCACCAGTTCGCCAATGGGGGGTTACTCCTCCGATCTCTACAGTCTTGCCGACTCCAGATGAGCTCGCTGCAAATGACGATCTGATCTCTGAACTAAAGTTGCAGAACAACTTCGAAAGCCCCACAGAGACCGAGCACAGGTAAGGCGATCGGGAATCTTTCACAATGCTCGACATGAGCGCTCATTATCTTGGCTTCACAGGAAGAACACCCTCCAGCTTATCCAACGTGTCACGGTCGAGTTCGTCAAAGTCGTCAGCCGAAAGAAGGGACTATCCCCTGCTGCAGTGGAGGCAGCAGGAGGAAAGATCTTTACTTATGGAAGTTATCGCTTGGGTGTTTACGGACCTGGTGAGTCGCCAGCAGTTCTGGATGGTTTTTTTTGGTATCCTGAATATTAATTGCGCTTCGTGGCAGGGTCGGATATCGATACCTTGATTGTTGGTCCGAAGCATGTTGTCATCGATGACTTCTTTTCAGATTTCCCCCCTGTCCTTGAAAGAATGGCTCCACAAGGGGCTGTTGAGAAGATGACTCCTGTTCCAGATGCCTTCGTACCTATTATCAAACTCGAATTTTCCGGTATTAGTATCGACTTGATCTATGCCCGCCTGATCGTCCCTTCCGTTCCACTCAACCTTGATTTGAAGAACAATGACTACCTCAGAGGCTTGGATGAAAAAGAGGTCAGATCGCTCAATGGTACTCGTGTAACTGACGAGATCTTGGAGCTTGTGCCTCAACAGAAGACTTTCCGTCTCGCTTTACGTGCTATCAAACTCTGGGCGCAACGTAAGGAACATTGCTCTTGACTTTTAAAGTGCTTGCTAGCTAACCGTTCCACCCTATGCATAGGCAGAGCCATTTACTCTAATATCGTGGGCTTCCCCGGTGGTGTTGCTTGGGCTATGTTGGTGGCTAGAGTGTGTCAGTTATACCCCCAGGCGACCGGGTCGGTGATTGTGGGCAAATTTTTCCGGATAATGAACAAATGGGCTTGGCCTCAGCCTGTGTTGTTGAAGCCAATCGAGGATGGTCCTCTCCAGATGAAGGTCTGGAATCCAAAGGTGTGTACCGCAACTGGTCGCTTGTCGGTTTCGAATAGCCACTGATCTGGTCGTAGATTTATCATGGTGACCGCTTTCACCTGATGCCGATAATTACCCCTGCGTACCCTTCGATGTGCGCTACGCACAACGTCTCCATGTCAACCAAGACTGTTATCCTTCGCGAATTGCAACGAGGCGGTGATATCGTAGACAAGATTTTCCTGAAGCAAAACACTTGGAATGACCTCTTCGCGAGACATTCGTTCTTCACGCGCGACTACAAGTATTACCTCAGCATAACTGCATCGAGTAGAACCAAAGAAGCAGAAGCGGTCTGGTCTGGACTTGTTGAATCAAAGATTAGACATTTGGTTGGAGCTCTGGACAGGAAGTCAACCATCGCAGTGGCTCACCCGTTCCCCAAAGGTTTTGAAAGGGTTCATATCGTCAGCAGCGAAGAGGAGGCCGAGGCTGTTAAAAATGGGTCTACAAAGTATCAAGATAAGGGACAAAAAACAGAGACCACCGATGAGATAAACGACGCTGCTCATCAGGCCGCGGCTAACAGCCAGATCGAAAAACGAGATGTCGCAGAGACCGTGGAGAACAAGGCCAATGGTGAAAGCCGAACCATCTACACCACAACATATTATATCGGGCTGGAGTTGAAGCCATTAGAGCCAGGTATGTTAGCCAATAACCCTATCTGATCCCACTGACTTGAGAAGGTCAATCTCGGTCGTTGGATATTTCAACCGACGCCCAGATATTCAAGTCGACTTGTACCTCTTGGCCTGGATATCAACCCGGTATCAATGACCTGGCCATCATCCATGTGCGGAAGTAAGTTTTTTACCTGGATTTTAGGAGTTCGTACTTTAACAATCGGATCAGCTTCGACCTTCCTGAAGATGTCTTTCAACCAGGAGAAACGCGTCCCCAGCGACCGAAGAAGAAGATTATCAAGAAATCCGGAGCGGGCGGTCAGAAACGAGGCATCGAATCATTGGACGTAAGTGCATACAAGAAAATTCGAGTGGACTATGGACGGCAAGCTACTTCTACGGAATTCGACCCCTCGCGCTTAGCGGTGCTCAAGAGTTCTGGCATCTGAACATGACTGATATCAACCGTTGATTTCTCTTTACAGGATCCATCGCTTCCGGCTGCGAAACGTCAGATTCCGTCCAACGGAGTGCCCAATACAGCAACACCTGCGTGAGTGCCTATCAACCGTAGTTAGGCCCAAAACCACGATGGGGCAGGTCCCCGATCTGTTTGTGAGTGAGATGCTCGACATCAACAGTCACCGTTGCAACCATATAAAGAACCGCATCCGGATCGGATGATATGTAGTAAATGGGCGGCACATCTAGTATAATCCCAGCTGAAATCCACTAAAAAAGAAAACCTACAGTTGATCTAGTGATTCGTCCTCCGAGACGCACTGTTGCAACTGATGTCAGGAATTTCAAGGTTGGTTTCTTCTCTCTTTCTACTACCTTTTTTCTTTCTTGACCTCGCAGACATTATTTCTGTGCTATCTTGCCCACCGAGCGACTACCTCTTTGCAGACGTTCGTGACAGTGGAGGCGGTTGATCATACTTGCATTACGCGGTTGGGCTCACAAATTCCCCTAATTTTCTATTTCCTGTTACTGCACATCGCACGGAGATTGTAGGTCTACACTGCGGGTGGTTTGAGATTGTACATATCACCTTGCTTTTCAGTTAGGCCTGGTAGAAGTGCCAGCTAGGTTTAGTTGAAATAAAGAAAGTGTTTTCGTGGCCTACGGGCCACCAGTCACAACTAGTGTTCTCCAAAATGCCGTGTTTTCGTAGGCAGTTAGTAAATTCGCGTTGGTTCCTGTTCCATTCGGCCCGTTACAGGCAAAGGTTTGTACAAAATTCATTTAGTTCGTCTACTTACGTCTAACATGCATGTATACACCCAACAATCCGCATTCAGCTCCAAGCTTCCACCAAGTCACACAAAGTAGACTCACCACCAACATTCCCAGGGAAAACCACAAAAGGGACACCTCGATGTCTCGAAGTGGACTCATCGCATCGCCACAAAGGCACCCCAGGCGCTGCCTGACCAACAATCAAAGCCCGTTTCATATTCAAGCCTTTAGTCGCAGCATCAGAGGACGTGATGCCACCCTGAAACCATCAGCATCCGACCAAACACACACACAAAGTTCCAACTCTCAGAAAATATCGGAGAAAAGAAAACAACTAACCTTAGCAATAATATACCTCGGACGAACCTGAATCTGCCTTAGCACACTGACCAAGGCACTCGCAACATTCGTCCCAATAGCTAGAGACGATAGCTCACTATCCCCCGTGATCAACTTGCGACTCGTCATGACCAAGGTATCCTGGCCGGATTGAAGATGGGACTCGGCCTCCTGGACTGTCCGCTGAATTGCGCCTGCAGCGCTTTCCGGTGACGCGATCAGTTCTTCGACGTTCATTTCGAGAATGGCGAGTTGACCTGTTTCTCCGCGCTTGGAGGTGAGAACCTTGAGCTGGGCTGTTGTCTTGGGCACGTAGGATCCGGCGATGATTAGTCCGCCTGTTTCTCTAGGGACGGGGAGTAGGAGTTCGCTTGCTGTTATGGGGGATTTGGAGCGGATTCCCAGGCGGGTGGATACGAAGGCTGCGCCGGTGCGGTAGAGGAAGTGTTTGCCTTTCGCTTCGGCTGTTGCTGATTAGTTTCTGGTAAATGATGAGGGGAATAGGTCGGGAGATTGGACTGCATACCCAATAGCAAACCAGCAACGAAGACATGCATATCGGACTCCGCCGCAGCATTGACGATAATGACACCGGCCCGGGGGATGCCCATCAGCTTCTCGAAGACTGCTTGGGGTCCTCCAACCCGGATATCGTGTATCGATATAGAATGCAGCTGCTCCAGTTGAAACCTCCCAGCCGCTTTCTCAACGACATAGTCCCTGAGGTTCGAACTCTTATATCCGAAAGTGGCATCCGTCGCGAACTGCGTCGTCCCCGCCGGAACCAGGTTCTCTCCCTCAGCCACATAATGCACATCATCGATGGTGAAGCGTCCACCCTGGAAGAAAAAAGGAGCGAGTACCAACCCGTCCGCGTCCCCGAACACGGACTGCGCAACGTCCGTTTCGAGCGGGAAGTGGCCCCGCAATGTACTGTCGCCGCGCAGGACGATGTCCACTGTCTGTCCTGCGGACTTGGCGACTTGCGCGACGTTCTCGCAGATCTCACGGATGAGTTTCTCAGCTTCGAGGGGTGGGAGCGCGCGCGAGTTGGTCAGGATGAAGAATCCTTGGGAGTTCTGTTTGAACTCTTCGGTTAGGGTTGGGATGTCCCAAACGGTGAGCACGGAGATGTCATGGCATGTTTGTGTTCCGGTGGGGTCGTCGTCGAGTACGACTAGACGGTTGAGGGTTGAGGAGGCCAGGAGTTGCGAGATCTGGTCTTGGGCGTTTGTAGGATATGCGGGGGGCAATTGGGCCAGGGTGCTTTCGCGTGGTAGAATGGGATAATCTTGTGGGGATGACATGATGGCGTTAATCAGTTGAATTGAGTGTATGTTAATTGATCCAAGGAATGAGGTGGTTGTTATGGATTTTGGGGGGGGGGGGGGGGAGAAGCTCTCTATTTCAACCCCACATTTTATACTTGGGAACAATTAAATGCGGGGGAAGGGGATCGGAGACTAGTCCGATGTATAGCCAAAACAGAACTTCAAGCTCTCTCTATAGTATAGAGAGATCTAGCATCTTGTTGTCCACAATATGATCACTCATTGAAAAATCCAATCGGTCTAACAGAACAATGCAATGAGGAGAAAATAAGAATAAGGAATATAGGGCTCTCAAAAACACCGCAAGCGCCGTGGCATGTGCAGAGAAGATGCAAAATAGTCATGACTATGACAGTGATGGAGATGCTGTTGATCCAAAACGGAATATGAAAAAGAAAAAGAAAAGGAGAAAGAAAAGAAAAGAAAAGAATGATCGTATAGATCCCAACCAGTCATTACGCATATCCTCCCTTCCCTTTTATTGTGAATTAGCAGAAACCGTTTCCTTGCACTCCTCAAGTCTCATCGCACGCAATGCTCAAGAGATCTCATCATAAAAAAAAAAAAGAAAAAAAGGAGAAACGAAAGACAACCCACCCAGCCATCCGAACCGGTCATTAAGGAAGCCCAGTCAAAGAGATTCGAGATAGTAATAGTGGAGTCACGCAGAAAACGACAATATCATAGTCCTTGGGAAAAGCGATCATCGGTCATAAGCAACGGTTTAGCCGACAACACTGCGGAAACTCAAGGCTTCAAGGAAGGCACCGAGGTCTTCCTTTCGCACTTCGACCACGCAGTGATCAAAGCTGTCAATACGAACGCGAGTGTTGGTTTCTTGGACAACTTCTTGGAAAGCAATTCCAAAACGGTTTCGCAGAAGATGCTTATCGGCGCGTGTATCGTCTTCGTCTTCTGACTCGGACTCCGATTCAGATGATTCTTCCTCTTCGCTTTCTTCGAAGTCTTCTTCACCGTCCGTTTCTCGTTGCGCCCGCTCTGACGCACGCTTCGCTCGCCGCTCTTCCTTTTCCTTTCGCTTCGTCTCTTTGATTTCTTTCTTTTTCCGACGCTCGTCTCGCCGTTTATTCAAAGCAGCGAAGTCAACCACACCACCTCCCCCACCAGTACCGACAACTACATAAAGGTCTCGATCTTCATCCAGTCCAGCCAGTACCAAAGGGGTTCCTGCAGCACGCTTGCGCCCAATCTTAACTGAATCGCCTCGCTCCCGCTCTTGTACTCGAATTGCTTCGGCAATCCACAGGGCTAACTTAGTCAACGCCCCTGGATTAGTGAATAACTTGACATCAGGCCCATCTTTGACAACAGCGATGCGAAACGCACGCAAGTGTCGAATCTGATGCTTTGAAAGTAAAGAAGTGCCTGTGCGTAAAATCGAGCGGTGGAGGTGCTGAGCAAGGGGAAGCGCCTCTAGGAGAAGCGTAGGTGACTCGGGGGTTAGAGATAGGGCGTCATATGCACACCAGAACCGGGGCACAATACTAGCTAGATCCGATTCGGTAGAGTCGACGCCATTCAATTCGGGCGCACTCCTTGGTCGCGACAGGTGCTTTGCGTCCCACGACCCAGGCGCCTCCTCTGGTCCGACCTCGAGCATGGCACCAATGATAACACCCACATCGGTGGCAGACAAACAAGCCTTCCAGCCCCAACAGCGCACGAAGCCCCATCCCTCACGAGAGGCAGCATGTCCGGATGCCTCCGCGGGTACCAAACCATCCAGGCCGTACATTGGTGCATACTTAAGAAGGCGTTGACGTAGTACTCGTTTTAATTCCATGTCCATATGGGTGTAACTCTGGTGAGACTGGCTCAAGCTGATGCCCATCTTAGCTAGGAGTTTGTTGAGTCGTTTCCTACCATTCTCCGTCCACACATGTAATCGTGACGCTAAGTAGGGGCTATGGAGCATGCTATCATATAGCGACCAGTGTCGTATAAGGATGAATCTAGGTTCCGGCGACAGACGAATAGATTTATCTGTGGGCGACTTTGCCGTGGTTGGGATAACACCGTTGATCTCTCCTCTTATGTCTCGATCACGTTCATAAGGATCCGGCGGGTTCAGTCGATGGACCTCGTCTCGTAAAATCTGTCGTATACGCTCGCCCCGTTCACCACCCCAACCAGCTGACCCTCCAGATTCCGACGAGTTCGAGATACCGACCCCAGACATTGTACGGCCGCTAAGCTCTAAACTAGATGCGCCGACAATGGCAAGCCAGAGCAGGTCATTGTCCTCACGACCAAGCTCCGATGCCAAGGAGTACACAATGGATGATATAGGTTCTGAGTATGAGGTGCCAGAGGAATAGTAATTCTGTAGCACACTCTCGTGTTTTCGTTTTAGTCGCAGTAGGCGCCGTTTCAACGAGCGCGCGGATGGCTGTTTGGGTTGTGCAAGCGACGGAGATTCTAATACTGGTGTGACAGCGCGTGATGAATGAAAGGGATCATGCGCTCTGGGCCGTTGACGAGTGGGTGAAGAAGCAAGCGAGGACCCCTACAAGCTACATTAGTACCACATTTAAAGGAATACAGACCCCACGTAAAACATACCGAATTGCTTCTCCTCCGTTGACGGGGCGGTCCGTCCTCGTCGTCAGATTCGTCCTCGTCGTCCGTCCGCGACCATGACTTGCGCTTTCTAGAGTCCGAACTCGATGGTTGGTCTACTTCTCCTTCACTGCCCGAATCATCACCGAGATCCTCTTCGTCTTCTTCATCTACCTCCGGCATCTCTAACAGTGCGCAATATGCTTCTCGCTCTCTGCTCATGTCCTCCTCGATATCCCCATCGTCGTAGACCACGATGCCCCCACTACTCGATTTGTATGAGGGTGTGATACATCCCTTGTTCACCCCGCGCGTTTTCCGTCGCGCATTGGCATCAATCTCGCCCAGCGCTTGCTCCGACACGGGCTCGCCACCAAAGACATTGGCTAAGTTCCACGGTCGTCTCGCATCAAATACCCAGACCTCAACCCCGCCCATATCCTCCACATCATCCTCAGGGTTACTGAGACAGAGTATCTCGCTCAGGTCCACCAAGCCACCCACGCCTAGACAGACCACCACGCCCCCACTACCACCATTGGTAGTCTGCATGGGCTTGACGAGATCCTCCCCCGCACGAGACAGGTCGCCATATCCCGCAACTGGTTGGATCTTGTGGGGTATATAATCGCGTTTTAGCAGAGCAGTGAGGATTCGACAAGCGCAGAGCGCATCGGGCTCCAGTGCCACAAGAATCAAGACAGGCGGAGACAGTGGATGGTGTGATCGAAGAAGTTGTAGGTAAAGGTGCGATATAAGCTGGCGAGGTAGATACATGGCAGCCGGGGGAGTCAACGAACAATGTGCGAACGAAGGAGCCGACAGATACTGAAGTTAGGCCTCCAAGAGGCCCTGCTCTAAGCCGATAAGCAATCAAACCACAGACTATTCACACAAACAAAGTCAATGGTGTTTTGCTTGGCTCCATTCCTAGGTGTTGGCGAGTCTCTTGGGGTAACAAAAGCAATTCGTCGCGAATGTCCAGACGCGTCGGGGACGTGCCACACGTGCGGAGATTGCCGCCAAGCCCGCTTTTTTGGTTCAATAAATTTAATTTCCTAGCATAAAACATCATTCATGACCCGCATAAATTTTACTAGTTAGAGAATAAGCAAGGGAAAGAGAATAGTAAGTAGTAATAATGATAATTAACGAATAAATTAAAAGTTTTCACAGATCGCAGTCTGATTTGTCATATAGAAACTGTCCTATCAGTCTCACAATGAAATCTAAATAAAAGGATTAATGCACAAGGGCATTCTCTGTTCCTTTGTTTTCTTAAGATACATTGATAGGAGGTAGATGAACTGTGCTCTTCAATTGGACTTGAATATGAAGAGCGTCTGAAATACTCTCAATTCCAGAGATCTAGCTGCAGTTTGTCCATTATGTGCAAAAAAAGGCATCTATCAAGAGAGGGAGAGAGAGAGAGAAATAATGATAATCCAACAACGCCTGTCAGTACTCCTGAAACTAGGTATCACATAATACAGAACCACAGGCTGTAGTCACACTGTACGCTGGTAGCATAGGAAAGCACAACCGAATGCCATGGATGAGTAAGAGAACGAGACTATAGAGACATGAAATATATAGTTGGATTGGAATTTAGACCAAGATCAAACTGAGGGCCGGCCTAAGATCGATCCAGTCAGCCAGACAGCAGCGCAGACCCCCAAGACAGAGGCTCCGACTAGTCGCTTTTCCCAAGGAGCTTCTTGGGACATTTTGACAGGCTCAAAGTTCTTCCTCGGCGAGTGGGGTGATAAAGAAGCTTGCGATCCGGAGTTGTCGTTACCTCCGCGAAGCGACGAGTCGTTTTGATTGACCAAGTATTCTCGGTCGCGTGCGCGCCATTTCTCAACCAGTCGCGCAATCTCTATAAGGTCTTCTTTTAGAGATCCTGGGTCAGTCGCGGTAGTATTCTCAACCTCAATGTTCTGGACATTCCCGAAGAAGTCCACCACCGTTCGTAGGCGGCCCTCCTGCTCAGCGCCAGGGAACAGATCCCATCGCACGCCTGGTTGTGAGTGAATCTTAGTTTCGTCATATGAATCAAACAAGTCGCCCAGTGTCAGTTTAGAGTTCGCACTTGTGACCTGAGTTTCAAGAAACTCGAGCACATAGTACGTCCAGCGGTCAATCACTGCAACTCCGACATCATTGTCGGCATGATGAGAGTATGAAGACTGGTCAAGCTCGCTGGATCCGGTGGCAATGATATTGGGCGAATAAAAATGCGTATACATCGTGTTGGCCTGGCAAGTATCGATCATGAACAGTAGCTCATGATAACGCTTCTTCTCCCACATTTGACCGAAGGCATCCGCTAAGTCCCAGGCTCCAATCTCCTCGGAGTCCTGAAACTTGAGAAACTGGTCTCCTCCATGTCCGGTCATATACACAAGTACATTACTTCCCGCGTCAGACCCAAGGCGTTTGCTCCGTGGTACATCTTCGTCTAGCCGATCGGTCAAAAGACGGATGAAATTCTCCACCGTTACCTCATAGCCCCGGTAATCCACCTCAATATTGTCTCCGTAAAGGTCGACTGCGCGATCTGCATTGCTGTAGACCGTTCCTGGGAAGACATTGCGAGGGTTGCAGGCCATATCGTCGGGAAGCATCAGGATAATCTGCGAATCGGGGATTCCGAGGCGCTTGACGGTACGATACAGCGAGAGGACATTTGCGAGGTGGCGATAATTGAACCAAAAGCGCGATGTCGAAACTAGGACGGCCCAATTCGACGTATGCTCAGATGATGCTAGAGACGCAAAGAGTGTGAGGAGGAAGGGAAGGACTCTAAGGAGCCCAAAGTATGGAAACATAGTGAGCGCTCGAACGTCAAATCATAATAGAGCCAGAGAGGGTTGCGTAATGAGCGACAGACAAGGGCGACAACAGTAGCGCAATACAGAAATGAGTGCGACTAGGTAGGTGGAGATGTTTACGGAAGTCGTGTAGTAGTTAAGTAGTGCTCCGTAGTATGCTTATCAATTCAAGTGGAAAAGGACAGCCAGAAAGAGGGTCACATCGGGAAGGTCATTTAAGGCATCCATCGGAACTTGAATGTTAGCGCCTGAGGCATCAAACGTCACAATCAGTAAAGCTTTGCAGCCTGAGGCATCAGGAATGATAGACAAAAGCCAAGTTTCCTACCAATCACATTAACGTCCGTGGTGGTACTGGAATGAAGTACGAGTAGTAGTAGTATCCATGGACAGGGGTGGCGTGACAGGAAAGTGGTGTCTTAAATAAGAACAGGATATCTTAATCATCCGCTTTGATTCCTTGTCTGTACTAAAGGAAGGGTTGAGACGATACTATCCAACTTTTCGGCTATAACTACTATACTAACATTTTTGCACAAGTATGCTCAGGTTCATCATCTTTTCTCTATTCATCAGTTATATTGCCTACATAGGTCTCTGTTTCCTCCGACACAGGAACCTTGCACGGAAGATTGGATTACCATACGTCTCGTTTCCTATTTCATCGCATAATATACTCTTCCTATCTCTTTTTGAGACTCGCTTCGTTCCATACGTGATCAACACATGGCTCCCACCCAAACTAGCCGACTATATCTATAGTAGCGCCTTCAAAACCCGCTGGGCGGCAAAGGACCGCCTCCATAAGAGGCAGGGGGAGGTTTATATGCTCATTACCCCATCCGTATCAACCTGCATGGTGGGCGACGCCTCAGTAGTCTCTCAGATCTGCATGTCTCGTCATGGTTTCCCAAAGCCACTCGAGCAATATAGTAAATTATCTTGCCCTGACTCACATATTGCCAAAACTAATGGATAACTGCATCATAGGGGCCCTGGACATATATGGTCCAAATATCATCACAGTAAGGTGTCCAAACTGTTATGTGCATTGACATCGAGTATTCAGAGTCTCGGCTAATTAAACACAGTCTGAAGGCTCTCAATGGGCACATATGCGTCGTCATACAGCGACAACGTTTAATGAGAGAAATAGCGCCCTGGTGTGGGAGGAAACAATCCGCCAGACCAACGAAATGTTGCGATATTGGGAGGACGAGCATTCCAGAAGCACTTCACCGTCCGAATTTGTCTTGACAGACGCTAGAGAGGATATCTTAAAACTCACTCTCAATATAATTTGCAGTGTTGGATACGGAGTGAAGCTTCCGTTCAGGCCCGTCCTTGAAAATTCGACTGAAAGTGCCGAAGGCTTGTTCAAAGATGCCATAACACCTCCGCCAGGCTACCGCTTCACGTTCCGCTCTGCGATGGAGTACTTGAATAAGCACCTTACCTCAATATTTATAGCCAATGGTCACCTCCCCAAAGGTATCCCACGGTCCGTACTTCCATTTTTCAAGAAAGACTTCGATGCGTTCGACGATATTGGCAGGTATCTGCAGGCTTTAGTGTCGACGGCTGAAACTAAGGAAACCCTAACTCCGAACTTACTTGATGGTTTAGTTAGATCTAAACAGAAGGGAGACAAAGAACAAGGACTCGACCCTGAGCTCATGGATGATGAGATACTTGGGAACCTGTTCGTATTCACGATCGCAGGGCATGAAACCACTGCTGTTACTCTTCGGTTTGCTCTTGTGCTTCTTGCTCTCAATCAAGATGCTCAGGAGTATTTGTACGAGGCAATTCGAGAAGCAACATATGGCGAGCCTCATAACCCTGTTGACTGGGATTATCGACGGGTTTATCCAAAGCTCGTTGGCCCCTTATGCGTAATGGTATGTGACATAACCCGCCTTTTGTGATTGTAATTGTCCCTAGAGTAATCACTGAGTCCTTCAGCTTGAAACACTTCGGATGTATCCCCCAGTGACGGGCATTCCCAGGTGGACAGGAGACTCCGCAGTCAACATCACGTACCATAACCAGTCTTACCTCCTTCCGCCACATGTTTATGTCAACCTCAATGCCAGTGGGCTTCATTATTCCCAAGAGTACTGGGGCCCAGATGCAGCTGTGTTCGATCCCAAGAGATGGGATAAGCAGAACACGGAAAGCTTCCTGGCGAAGAATGCAGGAGAAGGTCTGACAGGGCCAGGGCTAGAATATGACACAATCCATAAACCAGTCCGAGGCTCATATATTCCTTTCAGCGACGGCTTCCGGGCGTGTGTAGGCAAGAAATTTGCTCAAGTTGAGTTTGTAGTTGCCGTGGCCATTATCTTTCGTGCGTATCGCGTTATGTTGGCGAAACCCAGTGAACGTGAGACCGAGGACGATATACGTCGGAGGACGGATAGAGTTTTAGGGGAAAGTACTTCGTTTATCACGTTGTCGATGCGTGATGAAATACCGCTGTTGTTCCAGAAGCGGTGCGTTAGCAAGGCCTGACCAGTTAGCTTAGTCGCCGTTAATAGTGAGCGGAAACGTGCCATGGGTGCTTTAGGTGTCATATTTGGGTCATTCCATACCGTCAATCATAGCCCTTCTTTCGTCCCCTCATTGGTTTTCCCACCTTCTTTCGACATGAGATGCCATTGATGTCTCTGACGGAAACATTGTGCAATGATAAAGCAGCAGACCTAAGCCCCTATACTGCCCATAGTACACCTCGTCGTGATAGCCATCAGTAAACAATCACTGTGATCAATGAAGGCCAGGTAACCGCAACGTTCGGTATATAATTGGGGAGAAAGGATCAAGTCACTGCACATAGCTAGACGTATGAGAGACCTTTGGATGGATAGGAAACAAGGGTGCTAACAGGAGGCTAGGGCATGCTATGGTTTTCTTGGCCAAACCCATGTCCTAGGTAAAGTCCCACGGTTAGTAGTGGAGAGAGTGTGGTGTTAACAAAAGTCGCCAAGCACTTCCCTAAATCAGGGGTCGACGAGGCGCAGCAAGGCATCATTGAGTCGATTGCTTCAAATTACCAGAATTCAAATAGGTACCATTTCTAACAGTGGTGCAGCTCTCGGTCAGGACGAACCATGATTCGGAAGATGACCGATGCCAGCTGTCTAACAGAACCCCTTCACTACTCCTGGCCATCGCGGTCAGATGGAGCCAGGCTCTTTGATCTTTTCCCAGATACAACGGTTATGGAACCTCTTCATATAGACTCTATTAGAAAAGTAACGGATGTTGCCGACAGACCGTAAATTCGGAGTATAGAAGAGAGTGTACCGAACTTCTCTTTAGGGCACCTATGCCTACACAAGTGACAGGATTATACTAGTGTTTGTCTCATGGTCATCCCATCATAGAGACAAACGGCTTCGGCGATGTGGACGTTCAAAACCCATTTACCTGCCCTCAACAAGTTGTCGCTTTCGGAGTAACTTCCGCTCTTCGAATGGATGTATACGCAGCAGTAGCAACATCGACATGGTGGATATTGGCCAACGATCTCTGGAGATCCACCACTGTAATTTTCTCTCTTCCTGCCACACCAGTCATCGCAGTATGCTTTCATAATCGAGTGACCCTTCTCCCAAATAACACACCATACTTGGTTTTGATATCCTGCACTTAATATAAGTGGCGTCTGTGGCTCTTAGTAACCCTGACCCCGAACTTTACGCAAAACAGACGCTACATTTCCAATCATTTGAGACAAGGTCTTTCAGCAGCTAGAAAGTTGACTAGCTTGGAAGGTCATGGCATCTATAGTACGGCGTTTAATGGACTAGCATTTCAGCCCGCCAAGAATTAGAGTCGTAGTAGCCTCCATTGTGTAGCGATTAGTGTCGGTCGTGGAGGGGACTGAGTCGGTCCATCGAAATTTTCACTCCTAGTACTGCCCTCTCGTTTGCTAAAAATCCACCACGTTCCTCCTAGAGACTATAGTGTCACCACCACGCCACCCATTCAGGAGGTCAGTAAAATATTGAAGTCGGGTATATACCATCCTTCAGGCGATACGCTCTTTCCCGGAACAAAGGGTAGAGTAGGTTAATCCTGTTTGGGGTGCATAGCCCCCGCCATATGTCTGAGTTGAGTCAATCCAGAGAGGTGGAGCACTTTTTGTTGTGTATCTTGAAACAATCTAACATGAACGGGCAAATATCCAAGCCAACACCTGCAGCGGATCCAAGTGGGCCAGTCCCTTCAGCCATCTTGCACTTGGCCCACGATAGGAGTAAATCTAGTATATCTAAAAACGATACTTGATCTTTTTTTCATTGTAGACATGGCGGATAGTCAAGAGGGAAGACCAAAGAAGATAGTCCTTACCATGGAATCACTGTGGTGGCTTCTACGCAGGGCTTGGAGTTCCCTCATTGCCCTTTGGTACTTTCTATGGCTGCACCCTCTCCTTTCGTTCTTTACTGCCTCTCTAGTATTTCTCTTAGTATCACTTACACAGTCATTCGTTGAATTCTCTGACAACCTTAAAGTCCATTCACTTTCTCTAAACAATTTTTCCCCGGCCTATGTTACAGCGCTTAATGAGTCTATCAATCTGGGTCAACCGATCCAGTTCGATGCCGCAGACAACAAAACTTCTCCTGCCTCCATCCCACGAATCATCCACCGAACGTACAAGACAGAAGATATACCTTCGCACTGGAAAGGGACCTACAAGTCATGTCGCGTGTTGAATCCCACCTACGAGCAATACTTCTGGACTGACGAGTCTTCTCGTCAGTTCATCGAAACCCATTTTGACTGGTTCCTTCCCACCTACGATGCCTACCCATACAACATCCAGCGGGCTGATGCTATCCGTTATTTCCTATTATGGCATTATGGGGGCGTGTACATCGACATGGATATAGCTTGTCGCCGACCATTGGACCCGCTGCTGGATTTCTCTGCTTGGATGCCCAAGACCCAACCATACGGTGTCAGTAACGACCTGATGGCGAGTACCCCGGGACATCCATTCATCACCAAAGTGGCCCTGGGCCTGCATGATCACGACGGCTTCTACCTCTCCAAATACATCACTGTATTCTTTACAACGGGACCCATGTATCTCAGCAGTATTTTGACGGAGTGGTTTCGAAAAGTGCAAAACGGCCCGGGTGAGGAAATTACCATGCCACATGGCGTTGCTATACTGCCTTCCATGATGTACGACACCACTCCATACTCGTTCTTCGGTCACGCCCCAGGATCCACCTGGCATGGAAACGATGTAGCGGCAGTCAGTTACGTTTACAAACACTGGCATGAGATTTGTTTCAGCGCAGTTGTACTTGGCTTAGTGGTATTGACGATCTATATCTTACGGGTTAGGAGGAGACAGCCAAAGTATACCCCGATTTTAGGTAGGCAAGATGAGGAGGCAGGCTTTTTGTGATGATTCATTCGTTTTCTAAACCAGCCCAACGGAATGTGGATGAACACCTTTGTTCTTTCTTTCTTTTTTTCTTCCTCACTTTCCCTCATTACATTGGTTCTATACTCTCCTTTACCGCGCAAACTGCAGCGCGACGCTTTTATCTCCTTGAATATATATGTTTAGTATTAGATATACCCAGCGCTCTGCAATGAATAAACCGCTTACAAAATATAATACTTTCTCTGGAGAAACTAAGATAACGCCGTATAGCACCAACAAGAGGATAGGGGCGTGGGATTAATGCCTTGTGAAATGCGTATGAGCAACACATACAGGCAATCCAGGCTATTACAAGCTTCTATTGGGTGGCTTGGTTCACCTTCCATCTGCCCCATAAAATTGATAATTCTCTTCCGCTTAGTAATTTTTCGACATCTGGGGCAGAACTTCCAATCAGAGCATATCATACCAGAAACAGGGACCCTTAAAGCCTTATTGATTGGGACCCTTGTGGGGTTGTTGTGGTTACCGAACCCTAGAGCCATTGGCGCCCTTATTTATCACCAGCCCCTGTAAGTTGACCGAAGCATCCACTTCAGCGAGGCAGTGCCGCAGTGTGGAGGGTAAAACATGCTGCGCCACTCGGTCGTGGCCACAACTATCGGCTTTTCAGGGAATGAAACATGGCTAAATCAATGGGAACTGCGTTTGGAAATTTTCTAGAGAGGTTTCTACTGAGTATAACGCTGATCTTCGAATCTCAAACTCTATCATACTAGCACTTGTACTGCTGGATTGGGGAACAGGATGTTTCAAGTGGGGTATATGTTGAATAAGTTATACCTCAACGTTCCCCAGCATGTTATACGTACTGTATCTCTGGACGTACTCCGTAGTAGTTCCTAGCCAATAGTTCCGCACTTTAATCATATAGTGCTTATACAGGTGTCAACTGCCGGTCGACCTGTATCTTACTTGGGATGCGCTGGTTCATCCACCCGTCAGAAGGTAGAGAACAGTTGAGCCAATCTGTTATGATTTACTAAGACACCATATGCTTCTTCTTGAAGCGAGCTACTACGTAGTAGTTCTGACATGCCACTTGCAACAGAGAGAAAGTGACCCGATTAGGCAAGGCCTACGAGGCACAAGAACTTTAGGATTCGATTGCGGTAAAGCTAACCGGAAGAAGAATAGATATTCTTGCCAAGCTTTCAAAGGGGCCCACCGATTCTGCCTTGACTTTCAAAGGGCTCCGTGATCGCAGGGCTGCCTTGACTGACCCTAATCATTCATGTCGGAGGTTGCTCGCTTTTACCCTTCCCACGGCTCATGTATCACTGCGTCCCCACTTGCTCATTTCTGAAGTAACTCCAGGCTTCCCTGTCCCTGTCTAAGATGCATGTTTCACCTCTCTATCCAGTTTAGGAATCCACCTACTATACTCTCCTTCCTCAAATGGCATATTCTAGTAGTGGAGCTCTGTACTATCGTCCTTCAAGTTTGTGACACGGGACAGAGGAATCCAAGGATTGTCCTGCGTAAAAACAAAGTATGCAAGATCCAACAGTAGATCTCTTACCAAAATATGATGGAGGACTCTGATACTTGTACATGGTGCGTCTAGGTATAGCCAGTTTGCTTTCACGGGGCCTTTTAGACTTCTAGTACGGAGTATGACATTCCGATAACTAATATCTTTCCCGAGCAAGGTAATCACTCTACAAGGTCCCACACCCTCTATAGCAGGGTATCTTTTGCGCTGTATAGCGGCTTGCACGTAATTCTCAGGCCCATGCATCCAATGATTCCAATCTATCTCATCGCCATACAGGACCAATCACTTGCTCTAGCCAGCTACGTACATGGCGATCACAATCCTGGCGGTTTGTTCGTGCTTCACACCCAAGCCTATTGGCACACCATTGCAACCTGTACCCTATCAAGAGTATTATCCCACTCAATGTAACAATTATCCACTCGTACCCCATCTATCGTACATGAAGACCCACGCCATCATCTAGTACTATTAGCAGGTCTCCTGAATTTACTGATCAGTTTCTCGGCGGTGTGACCGGAGAAGGGATGGTGTGGACATTTTTCGGAAGGCTGTGGTTTGATCCACACAATCAGTTCGATGGGGCACCTCACCCGGAGGCACTCCGTTTTCCTCACATTCCAAGGTTGGTCAAATCCATATTACGCTAAGGAGTAAGTAGTAGATGGTACTCACAGCTATGCCCCGGGGACCGCAAGCACACTCTTATGCTGATCCCGAGAGTTCCTATAGGACACATCTTCCATGCTTTGTCGTAGATGCAATCTAAAGTGCTTCTTCAGTACCTCATATTATTTTCAAGATGCATACGCCGCTAAACAGGGTAAGTTGAGTAGGCACAGTGCGGGGCGAAGAAGACACGGTATGAGCTCGCTTCTGTTAGTGTCTTTCCTCCATCTAAGTACTCGAAAGTGGTCATCTCTTCTCCAATGGAGACTCGCCATCTGGCAAAGCACTATGGAGAACATATGCAACCTGTATTTAGTTTCTCTATGGACCGCCTTGGCGATACATGAACAGAATTTGTTGTCGTGAGGGCAGCAGAAATTTCTGATCTGCCTCGAATGTGGCAGACAAGACGTGGATGGCTCATTTATCTCAGAGATCATTTGTTCTCTGCCCTTCAGGCCGAGATCCCTGCAATTAACGCTATACAAACTTTTTCTGTCTTCCTTACCTCGCCCACATACCTCCCTTCAAGTCCCTTGAAGACCCAGTTTCATGTTCATTGATGCCTACGATTCCTCGAAAGCCCTCTGGTGCTTCGATGGGTTGCCTTCTACAACCTATGATATATCTGACGGTTGCTATCAACTTTGTAACAGTGGCTTTGCTTCTCGAGTAATATCAGAGCATCTTGGATATGGAAACAATGTCAAACTAGGTATGACTGAACACAACCTCATAATACCACAGAAAACCTCCATCAGGGTGTATCTAATTCACTACGGTGGATATTAACTGATTTTCCGCATCTGCATAACTTACTTCGCCCCTTCACGCAGCCATTGGGACAGTAGTCCTACCACCACCCGCCTTCTCTTCTCCATCCGCTCCCTCCGACGCAACGCCTACCACCCGCCTTCGGCACCAACACACAGAAAACATAACCAAACAGTACTATACCCAACGCCGATCTACCATGCAGCCCATCAAACTAAGTAAGTCGGGCCCACAGAGTTCATCGCCGCAATGAACACCCTGAAGCCCACATGCTCTGGCGCTAAGCACCCGATGAGACTCGGTACCAGGCATGCATTTAGGGATATTCTTGATGAGCAGATTGCTCATGATCGGTTCAGTGGATTCCATACCATAGGCGGCTAATATGGACTAAAAACACTATACAACATTTAATCTCTGAGCTCGGTGTGTTATGCTTATATTGTCTGGGCTCATGCACATACAACAGTGGCCATATTTATTGGCTGGTCCTCAGTCGAGTTTATTGCGCCGGAGACGACGATGAGGAACTGGACTAACGTTCCAATGCCGGACAATATTCCAAAACAAACAATCCAATCGGCGAGGCCCAACCATCACAGTAAGATGGTGAGGAGTTATGCCGTCTAATCCCTGTATCGCAAGTGGACATCACTAGCTCTAGATGTGTTTGTGCGAACTCAGCCCTACTACCCGAGTCCAAACTACTACTAGTATTAACTAAACCATGCCTTCTAGATTAAAAACATCAGCAGCCTGGCAGATTTCCAAAAAGCAGGCGGGAACTTATCCTTACCTAACCTCTCTTGACAGATGCCTTTCATTGTTGCAGCACCTCTGTCCGGTGTTCGGAAGGGCTCATTGCAGAGCTCGTTGTATCATAAATAGGGTTTTCGAAACCTCAGAAATTTCTGTCTAGGTTGCTTTTGCCCTTCAATATATCCTCGGTCATTAAGTTATCACGGAACCTGTTCCTTGTGTATATTGCATACTATCCTGTTACTCCCCGTGGAGAACAGTATGTATATGGTTGTTCCTGAGGCAACAAATCGGAGTCAAACTTATGGGATAGAATTGTTCTTGGCATTCATTCTGCCCTATTGATGCTGAACCACCTTTACCGCCTTAGGCATAATTTTCACAACTTCTTTTGTTCAGCAGAAATACGTAACTATTATCTGAGCATATTCTTAAAGCACTCCCAAAAGTTTACTTGATTAATTAAAGAATGAATATCCTTGGAAGCCACTAGATGAGATATTATGTACGGCGCGCAGTAGAGCATTCGATGAACCGGGTGCTTACTCCGTCGTAGATATAACGGCCCTGGAGTGCTTGGGATTTAGGATGCATTCGAAGGATGCTTCTCGCTACAGCTGATCTCACACGATGGAATCGTTCCGCATTCTGATCTGACAATACGATAAGACAGGAGTGCACGTCACTACTAGTACACTATCCGAACGTTCACAAAAATAGAAGAAATTATTACAGCATACCCATAGCATGATCGTCGGCCTTTTACCGGTTTGTGGCGGACATCATGCAGCTGCAATCTCAGAGATATAGATCGCGCGAAGGGAAATCTATTGCGAACAGATATTTTTAACGCAAATCTAGTAGCATATAGTACACCAAACTAGTCATGTGGTAATAATCTATTTGCCGATCTCAACACCACCAGTGGCACCCAAGAGACGCTTGATGTCACCGTAGATGGCGAACTGACCAGCAGTCAGGGTACCAACCATGAACAGACGGGCACCAATACCGGCGTAGGAACCACGGAGACCGAGCTCCTTACCGATCTTGACGAGACGAGAGATGGTACCCTCACCAGGCTCACCGGGGGTCTTGTTGATCTTGCTCAGCATAGTATCGGCGGGCTGGGAGACGAGAGCGGCAGCGAAACCAGCAATGAGACCAGAGCCAAGGTTGATAGTAGTCTTAGCACCATCGGTGAGGGTCTCCTTGTCGAAACCACGGTAGATAGCCTCAGAGACCTTCTCGAAAACGACGAACTTGGCCATGGTGTAGGGAACCCTAGAAATGTCGATTAGACTCGTTTTCCCAAGCTCGTCAAGAACGCGTGCAAACTTACTGCTTGAAAAGAATGGGACCGAATCCAGAGTAGAAAGCGCCGACACCCTCGTTCTTAAGGATCTTACCGAAACCGTTCATGAGACCGGTAGCGAAAGTGGGCTGGGAGACGAGACGGATACGGGTGGCTTCAAGAGGGCAAAGGGCGATATCAGCGAAGAACTCGGCGGTGGCGGAAGAGGCAAGGTAAACAGCGGTGCGGTTGTTGGAGGCAGTCTCGTAACCGAGCTGGTTGATCCACTGCTGCTTGAAGAACTCATAACCACCGAACTTGAAAGCACCCTGGAGGAAGTAACCGGCGGCGGTAGGACCGAAACCAGTGAGGAGAGCGCCAGCACCCTCGTTGGCAATAACCTGACGGAAACCACCGATCATACCACGGTTGTAGGTGACGGGGTCAAGCTGGATTCTGGTCTTGACGCTGCACAGGAAAGGAAACGTCAGTAACGGACACTTGAAGCCGGAACGCCGGAACAAGGCGCATTGAATGCCAATAGGGCGATCCAATTGGACTTACACATCGACAGGAGTAAGAGCTCCGTGGGTGACGGAACAGCAGACAGCACCAGCGAAGGCGAATCTGGAGTAGAGAGCAAGGCCGCTGAGCTGCTGAGGAGCAGCGGGCGCGGGAGATTCGGCTTTAGCGGACATTATATTATATGAAGAGTCGTACTCTGCTCTAAACACAAAAAGGAAAAGGGAAGAGAGGAGTGGGGAGATGGGAGGGTGGAAATGTCAAGCAATTGAAGCTCAGTAGGGATTGAGATGGAAAGAAATTGAATCCGGGAGAGGATTTGAAAGGGATGGCGTCGGCACTAGTCGCAACCCGAAAACTTTTCGCGGCCAATGCGGGTGAGGGTCGACGGCACGACCACGACTTGCCACCGTTTAAATCCGATCGCCCGGTCAACAGCAGAGAAAAGATATCATATCTTCTTGATACCATTATCTATTGAATTGCCTATGGGTGCTACTTATACAATAAGTATTCATATAATCATCTCTGTCTATCAGTGTTCTTCATTTCATTCTCCGAATTATCGCCCACTCCATGGAAAGAATTAAAAAGAAAAAAAAAAAGAAAAAGAAAAAGCTACGTGTCCGACGATATCCAGCCGGATCTGATACTGGCAATTAGTAGCCTCAGGCATTCATGACCGCCCGATGAACATGAACTTGAACATGAACTCCTATGCCAAGAGAATTACCAGAGCATTTCCATGACCTGTGAGTCAGTGATCACAGGGCAAAGAGTGGACTGAGTTAGAGTGTCCTATCATTTCAATAACTATGACATTTTCTTATGGGCTTTACTTAATATTTTACTTAATATCTCTTGGCCATTCACTTGTTCCGGTTTGATATGTCACTCCCTCGGATCCCCACCCGGTGGCATCCCTTATTGATACCTGAGGCAGCCCCCGGATGATTGTACCATCTTTAATTGGTGCAATATCTCCTGGTTCCTTTCACAACTTGAACTTGCACCTAAAATTAGCCTGAAAAAGGGAAATGCAAAAAAAAAAATAAATAAATAAAAGAACTCACCACTAAAGGTCGAGTTTTTAATTCGTTCGTTATTGAGTAAACTGCCAAACTTTGCTGCTGGCACCGTGATTAGCAAGTCAACTATGAACAGCCCTAGTAACTCGTGGCGGTCAAGGCAAAAGCTCAACCACCACCTATTCTCCAACTCGGATCGAAGGCGCTTGTTTGCTTGCTCTGATTTGTATCCACTAAACACCTGACAGCAGGTCTATCATGCCTTGCAAGGTCATACAGTATCTGACCGGTGTTTCACACCGACTGCCTGGGTACCGAAGCAGTTGATACGTCTATTGAAGTAGAACGGCGCATGATGACGCACCCGTCCGATATTTGGCTATACCTGTCAGAAAATCAGTCTTTTACTTGTTGAACGTCTTCATCAGCTTCACTCCGTAGTCTCTCACAGCGGCTTTCTTTCTATTCAAACCATCAATGTTACCCATCCCGTCCTGGTGTGATCCTAAAGCAAGGGAAGAAAGAAGAAAATGGAAGAGGATCGAAAGTCAGTTCTCTGGTTTCTCCATAGATAAGCTGTCAGTCTGTGGATACTAAATACGCGATCATGCATAGAAGAGGCAGAGCATCTAGCTAAACTCCCATCATGGGATACTCCTGACAATTCGCTGATGCTACAGGGTTTCGAATGGCATGTTCCAGATGATCAAGGGCACTGGAAACGTCTTCAACGCTCACTAATTAGTCTAAAATCAATCGGTGTTGACAGTATTTGGATTCCACCGGGATGTAAAGCAATGACCCGTTCCGGTAATGGCTATGACATCTATGATCTATACGATCTAGGAGAATTTGACCAGAAAGGATCAAGATCTACAAAATGGGGTAGCAAGGCAGAGCTCCAATCACTAGCTTCCTCTGCGCGTGATCTCGGTATTGGCATTTGCTGGGATGCAGTCCTTAATCACAAAGCTGGTGCTGATTATACAGAACGATTTTCAGCTGTAAAAGTGGACCCAAAAGGTATGTTCTCTAGTCTTAGAGAAACAATATAAGTAGGTTAACTAATACTCTGGCTGGGACAAAAGATCGCAGTGTTGAAATTTCCACTGCAAAGGAGATTGAGGGCTGGGTTGGATTCAGTTTTCCGGGCCGTGACGGCATATATAGTCCCATGAAATATAGTTGGCATCATTTCAGCGGCGTTGACTGGGATGAAGCTCGGAAGAAAAATGCGATATACAAAGTTGCTAGCAAACGATGGTCTGATGATGTGGCTCACGAGAAGGGAAATTATGACTATCTTATGTTTGCTGACATAGACTATTCCAACCTAGAAGTGCAGAAGGACGTTCTCCTGTGGGGAGAATGGATAGGAAACCAGCTACCTCTCTGTGGCATGAGGTTAGATGCAAGCAAACACTACTCGGCTGAGTTCCAGAAGAAATTTGTGAATCATGTTCGAGCAACTGTCGGGCCGCAGCTTTTCTTCGTTGCAGAGTACTGGAGCGGCGATGTCAGGGTTCTTACGCGTTATCTACAGAAGATGGATTACCAGCTGTCTCTGTTTGATGCACCCTTAGTCGGACGCTTCTCGAGGATCTCGCGCACGGGGGAAGATCTTCGCAAAATTTTCGATAATACGCTGGTAGAGAACAAGCCTGCACACGCAATCGTAAGGCCAGCCCGATCTTATCCTTCGTTTGCACTATACTTACCGTGCGGGTAGACTCTAGTCATGAACCATGATACGGTAAGAGGGAGACTAATCGTGGACCAGCATCCATGGAGATGTTAATTGGTTATCCTATAGCAACCAGGACAGTCCCTAGAGGTAGGACACATTACCCTTTTCGATCTTGGGAGCAGCTAATAAACTACCCAGGCTCCGATTGCATCATTCTTCAAGCCCCTCGCCTATGCATTGATTCTACTCCGAGACAAGGGGCAGCCGTGTATATTTTATGGAGATCTTTACGGTATCCGACGCGGCGTCAAACACCCTATGACCCCATCCTGTGGCGGAAAGCTTCCAGTTCTTGCACGGGCTCGCAAGCTGTACGCTTACGGCGAACAATGCGACTATTTTGATCAGGCCAATTGCATCGGTGTGCACCCTAAACAGTATTCAATGTGCTGGCTCATGGCCGCCTAACAAATAGTAGGGTTCGTCCGTTATGGCAATCTGCATCACCCTTCGGGCCTAGCATGCATCATGAGCAACGGTGGTGCGTCTCAGAAACGTATGTATGTCGGGCGGAGCCATGCCAAGGAGCGATGGACAGACATTTTGGGGTGGCATCCAAAGACAGTTATCATCGATAAGAAAGGTTATGGGGTATTTCCTGTTTTTGCAATGCAGGTCAGTATCTGGGTCAGTTCGGCCGCAGAAGGGAGAGAAAGCCTTCGGGAGCCATTGTAAGCGCCATTTCACCCATCCCCTCATATGCTTTCTCAATATAAGGCTTCTTTGAGCTAATCTATTGATAGCGAGGAGGGGATTTACGAGGATTGACCGGTCTATCTGTGCCTTACAGATATCTGACAAGGTGTGGTTTTGACCTATTATCCGGCGGCGTTATGAGTTGGTCGATCAAATTATTATATGCTAAGACCTTTCGAATACCCATCTAGCGGTTGAAATTGACATATTGAGCTTTTATCAATCATGTTGCTATGTCGGTTCCTAACAAGGGAAAAAAAAAAAAAATCGCTGGCTCTTTGGAGATATAACAGGGGCTTTCACCTATCTCCACTCATTGCGTCGAGGGTTATAGCCGACTACTATGAGCACCATTATACTTTGCTTATCTCGAGAAAAGCTACTGTTTGCTAATCATTTTCCTTGTTTTATACCCTTAGCTGAAGTAGTTAGATCATCTGAACGCAGAATAGTGGATAATAGATCCAATTTACGCGTACAGCTTACGATTCCACACGACATCCCCGTGATGATCCCATGCCCCAACCAAGATTACCTGTTGTTTCAAACTCAAAGACAACATTCTGGCAGGTTTTAGAAGCGGATATATCAACAGTACCTTGTTATTTAGCTTCTACCTTAAAATGATCATTCCAAACCTCGCCTCCACCCATACGTTGTACGGGACATTCACCGCAGCCAACTGTAGATATTTCTTTCTAGATTGACCGTCTGCTGTTCGTTGCATTGACAGATTCGGGGAAGATGGCCATTACAATCTTCCTAGCAACTACGTAGATATGCCCCACTATTTGAGTTAGGAGTTAAAAGTAGTTCGCTCAGGTTATCGCTTAGTGTTATTCGGGAATGCTCATGACGCGGCTCCGTCAACCCGGTTGTCTCCAAAGTAGCTGTTATTCGTGCACAAGAAAACCTCAACTGCAATGATCAAGCGTCGGATCACACATGATATAGGTCTCGAAGATAAAGAATCAGACAATTCTCTTTCGCTGTGGTAAAGGGCAAGTTCGCTGCTGTTTCTCTCCGGCGTTCTGTCCGTGGCGGGTCTGCTTCCGAAGGGAAAGATATAAATCAATGCAAGGGACTTGCGAAGTTTAACAGCACTAGGGGGCTCCACGCAAACCAAAAATCTTGGCAACTGCTCCTAAACATTCTCCAGTCAGGCGGAATCTATATGATCTGATTCATCAAGTGAAGCCACAGTACTCACATACATAACACTTCAATTTAGTCGAGGCTGTCACTGCAACTTAAGAATGTGTGCCGGACTATGGGTGCTATAGACAAGCTTTTCCAAGTTAAGGTTGAGTTCAATAGATGTGCGATACTGATGAAGATCCGTTCTTTCTCTGAATGAACCTGAACTCTAAGCACTTGGTAGGGCTTAGGGTGACTCATTTGAAATACGTTGATCTACTTAGTAGTTCTAAGAGAAACACAAAGGACTATACCATGCCTTGCTTCAGATGCTATGGTACCTCTGGTCCAGTTACTGCTCAACAGTTGATCGGAGAATGACAGGGCGCTCTTTTTTGGTGGGTGGATCAACATGTTTACACAAGCCCACATACTCATCGAGCAGATCATGATCCACTTCGCCTCTTTGTACTAATATAGGGCATCACAGGGGGGTATTGGAAATGCTTAACATTATCATAGATGACGACTCCTGTCTATTACTCATGGAGTCCTTAAAAATTAAAGGCTACGACAGCCGTTTATTAAACCCGAATTCCCAAAGCTCCTTGGTGTCATTATCTGGTGTAAGAGCCACAGGTTACTTGAAGGCCAACATATCAACATGTCTAACATATCACTGCCAGTGAAATCATGCCATACAAGAGAGATAATAAACGGTTTGTTTCTGAGCGTTCAACCAAATCCTACACTTGAGCTAACATGCTTATTAGAGGAAACCATCACCTCACCAGAAAAATCATATAGCGTGCCTAGTAACGATCAAGGCGATGACCGCCGTTCTTCTGAAAGTCAATCAAGTACATCTTCTCCCTGGAGTTGCTGTCATACTGAATCGAAAACCGTGGTGGCTTTTAAGCCACATGATCCAGATCACCCTAACAATTGGTCGAAGGTATAGTGGAACTGTCCGGAATCAAGAAGTTCCTACAATGTAATATTTCCATACTAATGAACTAGTTTTGGAAAATCTTTGTGCTTGTTACTGGTGCCAATGAGGTCATGAATAGCACTGTCGGGTCCTCAGTCACAGGCGGAGCCACAAAAGCAATTGCCCAAGAATTTAGCGTGACAAATCAGCAGATCCTTGTACTACCGATTTCTATGTTCCTCGTTGGTTATATCCTGGGTCCTCTGTTGTGGGGCCCCTTATCGGAGGCTAAGGGACGAAGGTCTCCTTTATTGATAGCTTTTCTGTTATATACCGTTTTCATGATGGCATCTGCCCTGGCAAAGTCGTATCCGTCTTTGCTTATCTTCAGATTACTCGATGGAATGGCTGCTTCTGCGCCTATCGCTGTCGTTGGCGGCATCTATGCCGATATAGAGGCAGATCCGACGGCTCGTGGTCGACTCATGGCGTATTACATGACGGTAAACACCCGATCCTCAGCAGTAGAATTGTTGTTCGTGTTTATTGGGGTATTAACCCACTTTTTATAGGCTACAACCATAGGACCCGTCCTTGGGCCTCTAGCGTCAGGTTTCCTCGTGAGTTATGGCTGGAGATCATGTTTCTGGTTTGGTCTTGCGTATGCAGGCATTAGTCTACCTACGGCTCTTCTGATGCCTGAAACGTACGCGCCTATAATTCTTCAACGAAGAGCTAAGAGGCTACGGAAAGAGACGGGCGATTCAAATATAGTGTCGCCGTTGGATCTCGATAGCCGAGGTTTTAAACGAACACTCGCTATCAACTTGGCACGGCCATTGCGAATGTTGTTCTATGAGCCTATCACATCCTGTTCTTGCTTATACCTCGCCCTCACCTACGCAATATTCTATCTTTACTTTCAGGCCTATCCATTGGTTTTTCAAGGTTAGTGGTACTTTCACCTGTTGCCCACCCTGCCCTATAGCGACCCTTTCGGAACAAATTCTCCCAGTAACATGGAAGGCTGCACGTCAACGCACTAACCTGGGAGACGAATGCAGGTATCTACGGAATGAGCCCAGCTAAATCTGGCCTTTGCTTTCTTCCAAGTAAGCCCTATGAAGCCTGAGCTCTCGAGAATAGTACTGATTTCCCAGTGCAGTCGGCGTCGGCGCGGTAGTTGCTTGCATGATCTTCATCTGGTACGACCGGTTCTTATCCCGAGCCAAAGCCCGGAATGCGAAATGGGCATATATTGAAGAATACCGTCGTCTTCCCCTTGCTTGCCTCGGGGGGCCACTATACGTTGTAGCTATCTTCTTCATGGGTTGGACAGCTTTTCCCAACGTTCACTGGTCGGTTCCTGCATTGTCAGGAATTCCGTTCGGGGCCGGGTACTTGTTGAACTTCATGGCTATGGCCAACTACATGGCGGACGCCTACGAGACCTACTCTGCTAGCGCTATGTCTGCATCCGCTTGTACACGGAGTATTCTGGGGGCTATGTTGCCGTTAGCGACCAAGCCAATGTTCGATCGCCTTGGGGTAAATTGGGCATATACTCTTGTTGGATTTTTGAGCCTTGGGGTCACAGTAATTCCATTTGTCTTCATTCGGTACGGCGTTCGTATCCGAGAGAGCAGCAAGTTCTGTCAAGAGCTCAAGCGGTTAAAGGCGGCCGATGCTCGGGGGCCACAAACAGATCGAAGCGTGGGAAGGTCGGGTGAGGTATCTGTGATTCATGTTGAGCCCAAGGATCTAGAGAATCAGAATGGTCGGTAGAACTTCGAGCGACATCAAGGGGATGATGTACAAAAGAAAAGTATATAATATATAATTCATTACACGGAGAAGATTCATCTTTCCTCTCTGTGTCTCTTCTCTTCTCTTTTTCTTTTGTTTTTGTTTTTATTCCAACCCCCTTCATCAAAATCCCCATGGTCATGGGATGAATATGTGAATTGTATCATCAGTTTAGATCTTATCTCGGACGAATTGGGAAAGTGGCTATGATAACTTACATGCTCCTTGCTCGCCCTTAGTCTCGGGATTGAGTGGGGAAGTTCAGATTTATTGGACGGGGGAAAACTGTGGCATTCCTCCATGATGTAGCAGAGGACAAAAGTTACTATTTTTGTCTGCTTATCAATATTTGAATTAAATGTTGGCGTTGGCACTGTTCACCGGTGTACCTGTGGCTGAGCAGTGCAGATTACAACCTTTCTTGTTTGCAAGTGAGATTCCAATCCAAGCAAGTCAGAGGGTAAAGAATCCGTAATGTGCTAGAAGGTGGAGAGAATACTAGTACTAGTAGTAACCACCCCTGTTGCTTGCAGGCTCGAGAGCCAATCCCAGAGCACGGGCGCGGATGATTTACAATCTAAGCTGAGACCGTTTGTTTTCTTGCGACTTCATTAAATCCCCCCTGCCTCTCTTTTTTCTTTCTTCTCTCTTCTTTTCTCTCTTCTTCTCCATTATCGTACGGTTAATGTCTCATCTACCACTACCCTCTTGATATTTTGGTTGCTGTCCTTCGTTTATCAGCATTCTGCGTTTTTCTTCCGGCTTGAATCTCATTCAATCGGTCGTTCTAATATTGTTTAATATTCTGGACTTATATTAATACTATTGATTGTCGCTACCAGCAGAAATTCTCTGTTCTCTATGTTCTCTATGTGAGCTACTGCTCTCTTCCAGGACCTGTATAATATTACTAGACCATCTCTCGTATAATTTCGCAGGTGACGAAACATGGATTCGCCTCAATATCAGGAGCTTGGACTTGTGTCGCAGGAACAACAACCGATCGATCAAACAGTGCGGGTGACTTGGAAATTCCTGGCGGGCCTATCGTCGAACTTGACGCTTGTGGGGTATGTTCTCTTCTGCCCTCCTGCGTATGAACAATCTGATGACCGAGATATTATCGCAAAGGTTCCTGGTCATGCCTTTAGCATTTGAAGATGTTAAGGATGATTCTCTCGGAGACAAGACCGGCACAGCTGTAGCAGCATTGGCATTGATCGGAAACGCATACCTTCTGTCGTTCATCTTATTTTGCGCCCAGTATCGTAAGCGTACATACTTGATTCATTCTGTCTTCCTGTAAATGCCCGATGCTTTTTTTTTTTTTACCCTTCTTTTGTCTCTTCCCCCCCCCCCCGCGCCCCAACCTTCTTTTTGGATTACAATCTCACCACTACACAGACCTTGTCTATTCTCCAATCTCCTCGGACTGCTGAACGTCGTTCTCAATATTCTCTGTCGAAAGCTACTCCCGGTCGGTCGCTTGGAAACAGTGGGCATGGTCCTTGCCTCTATATTCGCAGTCGTCTACGCGTTGTGCGCATTATGGGCCTATGGAAGCGACATCGCCGACGATATTCGAGTCGGTGAGGCCGACCGTACAACAATCCCTTTGACTGAAGAGGAGATGCAACGACAACAACTCCTCCGGCTTCTCCAAGAAAATCAAAGTAAAAAGAAATCGAACGCCAAGGTTACGCAAAAGACTTTCAGGGTTAAAGTTCCAGAACACATCAATCCGGGTAAAGGATGGGATTCCTTCATGCCTCCTCCTCGCGAGAACAGTTATTATAGATGATTGGGTCAGCCTAGATGCATAACAATGAAGCGAGATGATGGAGTAATTTACTGCGAACTATCTCAGCAGCCCTTCCTTGCCTGGTCGTCGGATTCATTTTCATCACTGCCAAGCGCATATCGTGCTAAAATCTCCAGTCTCCGATTGTCTGAGTATAAGAGACTACCTGAGTATGGCTTACACGATACTATACCCAACAAGGCAGAATTCGAAGGATCTCCGGAGGCCACGAATGTGTTGGGAAAACGACGGCCAACCAATAATGTCGAAGGTGATCTACCGAGGATCTTTATAATCTGATACTTTCTTTCGACTCTGATCCAGACATCACATGCTTTCTGCAGCCATGCTTACCGCAATATAGAAACTTTGTGTGTCTACTACATTCGTAGCTTAGAAAGATGCCAATGTTTGTGATGCAAGTCTTCCCAATCGTGTATACGAGGATATGAGAAAAGAATAGGATACAAAGGAGAGAAGGAGGGAGAAAATAAAATAAAAGAACCAGACTTGGTGTTCTTCGTACTAGTAGGCTTATCTAGAGACGAAGCAATAGAACTGCCGACGGAGATTCGGCACGAAACCATGGGAAGTTGAAACAGGAACGCCTCGGTAATTACCCGATTGGGAAACCATCGCCCGCGTCATCCACGGGGGTCAAAAGTTCTTCCTCAACCTTTTTCCCTCTCAACCATGAGTTTAATACTTTTCCTCCTTCATTATTAACTTGCCATTTTATCTCCTTGTGTAAAACCATCTGCATACTGTCTAAACCCCAGTCATGGCGAAACGAGTGACTCTCTTTGAACCTCCCCCGCTGGATTCTTCCAAAGCCCCCATCGAAAATGTCCTAGAGTTAACACCCGTGATAGATATTGGTCCAGTCCGTTTGTCTAAATCCGTACCACCTCCCTTGCTATGTCTCTAACCATTCTACTCCTCTCAACAGGATGTCTTTACGAATACTCGTCCTCTCTGGCACCCACCTGGCGCGCGGGGCATCTACGGGGGTGCGGCAATTGCCCAGTCGCTCGCCGCGGCGATGCGGACGGTTCCGTCGGATTTCGCCGTCCATAGCATGCACTGCTATTTCGTCCTCGCCGGCGATTCCGAAATCCCCATTCTATACCATGTCGAGCGAGTCCGCGATGGAAGGAGCTTCATAACGCGCACTGTCCAAGCCAGGCAGCGCGGACGACCAATTTTCACCACCACCTTGAGTTTCAGCAGGGCCAACAGCGGCGGGAAGAAGAAGCTGGAACATGCGACATCAATGCCTGCTGTTACGCTGCCGGATGACTCTTCTGCGGACGTAAAGAGGAAGTTTTATAACGCTGGAGGCGGGCCGTTTGAGTCGCACAAGCTCGGGACTGTGAACCGTAAGCATCATGACTTGCGTGTTATGCTACGAGTTGGATGAAGTTCCGGTTATGCTAACTGGCTCAGGAGATTCATCCAAGCCTGAAGATAAACGAATCCGACGCTGCATGCGCGCACGAGGAAACATCTCCGAGGCCGGCGGCCACCATGCCCATCTTTCCGCTCTCGCCTATGTGACCGATAGTTATTTCATCGGAACTGTATCGCGCGTCCACGACATCCCTCGATTTGCCTCCCCCGCCGAACTCAAAGCAGCCCTAAACGCACTTAAAAACCCATCTGACTTGGATGACGACGAAATCTCACGGGCGTTCAAGGAGTTGAAGGAAGAAGAGGCCGCCGAATTGCGCCGTCGGTTGGAGGGCGCCCTCAGTAAAGCTGAGGACCCGAAAAACAAACACAAGCATAAAGAGGTTGGCATGATGGTCAGTCTTGATCATTCGATTTACTTCCACAACCCTTGGGCGTTTCGCGCAGACGAGTGGATGGTCACGGAGATGGAGAGCCCTTGGGCTGGCGAGGGAAGGGGTTTGGTACTCCAGAGTATCTGGTCTAAAGATGGGATATTAATCGCTACATGCACGCAAGAGGTATGCTCATAATCATTCGTTTGTTGTTCCTCGGTCCGTTGTCGAATCCTACTCACTAATGCATGGTTGGTATAGGGTGTTGTAAGATTAAAACAAGATGAGCCCCCTCGGTCGAAGATATAGACTATTGCATTGCATTATCCAGCATCAAATACCCTTTCGTCTTGTTGATGATATATAAATTTCTTTCCAGGTTTGCTTTGAACTAGAGCGAAAGCACTTTCCCACTTGCCTTTGGCTATAATACGTCGTTGCATAGACACTTACCATATATATATCATTTGTGCTTCCTGCCCCCCCAGACTCTATTTGAATACATCATTATTTGTACATACATTTCAGTTGCTCACTTCGGCTTATCTTTGAGGTGTTAAAATTGAGTTTCAGATATATCATTCAGATATAGCGTACATGGATTGAACAATTCCCGTCTGCCCTTCCTGAAATCCCAGTGACAAAAGGAAGGAAGAAGAAAAAAGAAAAGAAAAAGAAAAAGAAAAAAGAAAAAAAGAGAACGCTTTCGCAAGCAAAAAGATCAAAGTGCCACCCACCCGTTTTAAACCAAAACAATGCCCCCGATGCAAGAAAAGGAAAAGAATAATGCTACAAGTTGTCATGACCCCACCAATTTTACACCTCCATCATTCCTACCTCCTCCTCCTTCAGCTGTTCTTCCTCTCGGCTTCGCTTCTCACAGAATTCCAACGCCTTCGCCCCCCAAACTTCCCTTCCTTTGTATTCGCCGACATAGTCCGGCCAACTTTTGATTTCCTTGGCTAAATTTCGCAGCTCCTGCATTGGCAGTTCATTCAAGGTGGTAAGAAACGTCTTGACGCCGAAAACGAGTGTTCCAGTTCGAGGCAGTCTACGGAAGGTCTGTCGCTCACGGCGGATGACGATATCCTCAGGGGATGGGTTGGGGTTGTCCTCAAACAATGTCGTAGGACGATAAAGGGTCTCAAACAGGTCTTCATCAGGGCGCTTCACTTCAACAAAGTAGTTTGACCGTTCCATTGGTGAAGATGGCGTAAGGCGGTTCAAGAATCTAATCGAAGGTCAGCTCCCTATCTTCTGTGCAGAGCTTCATATCCACTAACTTGCTAACAGAAGCAGCGACTTGCTGATGCCACAGAGGCACGGGTTCATGAAGCCGGGAGATTGTCCATCCAATTCGTTCCTGTACAGTCCATCCCACCGGAAAGAGGCTTGCACTGGCGGCCCTGCCTAGTTGGTCAGCTGTTGTTGCCCTGAAAGTAGGCCAAGGAGGGTCTCTTCAAACTGACAAGTAGTACTCGTCGTCCGCATTCTTCATCAAGATGCTTAGGTCTTCCATGGTCAACCTCACCGCTATCTCGAGCGGATCGACCTGCTTGTTTTGACCCCCAAACACGAACGTTTCGCCGGTCACCTTGTTATGGACAGTCGACTCGTCGCCGAACCTCTTATGTTCGAATTTGTCTGGAAACCGCTGACACAGGAAATCAACCACCTCCTCCAGCGCTTCAAGGCATGCTTCATATGACTCTGGGAGACATTGGAGGACCTTTTGCTTTTCTTGTTGCAGCAATTGACTCCGGACCTGATGCTCCGCCATGTAGTTCTTGTCGATGGTAAGCCAGTTTTGGGCATCTAGCTTCCGGATATCCATCATGACTCTATATCTTTCCCTCCCTTTGATGGGAGGAGGCTTAAGGTCCTCGCAACTAACATCTTGTGAATTGTTTTTAGGCTGAAGCCAGGGAAGATATTTTCGGAATCTAACGGCAATGAAGGACAGAAAAAGAAATAAAAGACCAATGCATGAAAGGGTATTCATCGCCTTGTTTGCCCACAATCCAATCAATATAAAGGAAAGAAAAAAGAAAAAAGAAAGAAAGGATGATGTTAAGGAACTTTTGGTTATCTCTCACTCATCGGACGCCACGACCAGGAATCACTGTTAACATCAACATGGCAAAACCTTCTCCGGAAGAGGGCAATGGCTCGAAATTTATCTGGTCCATGGACCCTAGGAGATGATGATCGTCTGGGTCAGACGATTACCTACAAAGGCTACAATGGCTTCTACATTCCTGATTCAGGCAGCTGGGTCGAACTCTGATACGTCCTGGACTTCCCCGCAAAAAGCCGCAATTCGCCGCTCCAAAAAAAGAAAAGAGAAAAAAGAACTGACAGCATCCACATGATCTAGTAGACTTTCTCAGCTCTCATAGCAATTGAGCTTCAGTGGGTCCTGGGACGGGGGTGGAGGAGAAAGTCAGGGAAAGCGAACTCTAAGTGGATCAGGGAAGGGCCAGGCAAATGGACTCAATGTACGGAGTACAGCGCCTCAAAGATCCGCAGCCGGGTCACTATGCGGAGTCCTTCAATCGGCCGTACAATTGCGTTACCAAGATGCTCCCCTCCCGCTAACTAAGTACGAGCTGACTAGCTTCATGGCCCCTCCGATCTAAAGGGCTGAGGGTACCTCTGCTCTTCGTCAGCCGGAGTTCACGCGTCTCCCGTCCGTGCGCATAAGAATGAAAGGCCTCGTGAGCTAAAAACAAGAGCCTGACTTAGGGAAGCTGTCTCTACTGCCTAACAGTTCCTGCAGTTCCGCTCCAGCAACACTCGATTTGATTTTCCGAAAGGTAGATGCAGAATGCCAATAATGGCATCATGACATCAACCTGGGATTACAAAAATAAATTAGAAATAGCGCAGGTAGCACGTTTGCGTGGTGACTGGCCTGAAATTGCAGAAACCCATACACTGTGCTAACCAAGCGCACTTGTATGACAGAATGAATATTGCCTGAGAGCTTCTGGGGCACAGCGCGTGCGTCGATGCGTGGGCCGAGTCCCAATTTGGTGGTCGATGGTCACACAGTTCCAGAGCGTCTGTTGTCATAGGTCACCGGGCTGTGGATGGAATCCAGTCCAGGTACCACTGTACATCATGTTCACTGACGTGCTGGCATGCTAGTCATTCGGAGTACTACGACTGGTCCATCTTCTCTGGGCAACCGTGGCACTATCCTCGAAACTAGGATTAGAAGAGAAGGTACGGGGCCGACACTGACGTACCATGAGGGACAAAGTCCTTGCAGTCTTTCGGTCCCCGCAAAGCTATGGAAGACTAAACATGTTAGGGTGGTGCACTGTAGGTACGCCCCAGCCAGTGGGGAACCTCAACTAACTACTTATCTACTTCGGTACAAATGTATGCACATCCATACTATGGAAGTGCGCACTTACTCAGTCGATGATCCACCACCGGCCGGGCCCAGAATTCGGGTTTCTAAGACAGTCGGTTTGGTTGGGCGACTCCACCCTCCCCGAAAACTGAGAAGATATCTGGGGTTTTGCGCTGCAACCGCCTTATCTCGCGCAAAGCGCGCTTGCCGCATCCTGCTTGGTTTTTTAGTAAGAATCAATGGTGTACTAACCAGCCCCCTAGTATAGCGGTGTCTCAACCAAGAATGCGCTTTTTTTTTTTCGCCTGCTGTCCACTTCTCTTTTTGACGGAGTAGGTGG